ACACACACACACACACACACACACACACACACACACACACACACACAGAGAGAGAGAGAGAGAGAGGAGGGGAGGGAGAAGGAGGGGGAGAGAGAGAAAGGGAGAGGGAGAGATAGAGGAAGAGTCAGAGGGAGGGAGGGGGAGAGAGAGAGAAGGGGAGGGAGAGAGGGAGAGAGAGAGGGTCAGAGAGGGAGGGGGAGAGAGGGAAAGGCAGAGAGAGGGAGGGGGAGAGAGAGAAAGGGAGAGGGAGAGAGGGGAGGGAAGGGTAGAGAGGAAGGGTAGAGAGGGAGAGAGGAGAGGAAGGATCAGAGACAAGGAGGGGGAGAGAGGGGGAGAGAGAGGGAGGGGGAGAGGGGGGGGGGGGGGGGGGAGGGTGGGGGGGGGGGGGGAGGCAGAGAGAGAGAGAGACAGAAAAAGAGAGAGAACTATGGGAGTGGCAGACCTCTGGAAAAAAACTGAGCAATATTAAGTGATGATCTGAACGGTCTGGATGTGGCTGATAACTGCTGAGTGAAAAAATGTATGAAATCTGAGAGACTGCTCTCCATCCATCCATCCATCCATCCACCCATCTTCCCCCTCTTCCAAATCCTTAAGGACTTCAAAAGGGACGTCCTCTGTTGTTGTGAAGGGTGAAGGATGGTTTTCTGGGCTAATCAGTGAGGGGAGACTCTGAGGGGAAGCAGCCCCCTAAACCTCAGGAACATTTCACAGGGAGCTTTCCAAAAGAGCTGGAAGTTAGAGGACTTAACAGGCAGAGAGTCAGAATGGATGCTAGTATTTGCTGTTATGGTCAGCTTCCCTCTCTTGAACTTAAGGGAGCAATTACTCTTCACCGGTCGTGCCATCAAAGACGTTTCCCTTATTTGTGGGTCAGTTTAATTAAGGGGATGGAATCTGTTTTCTTGCAGAAGGCATCTTAAAACTAACGAGTGAGGGGGGGGAAAAAAAACTAATTTTCTTTTCCACCGAAGCAAGCAAGCAAAAAGAAATAAATGTAAAATATGGACAGGGGCCCAGAGAAAAGAGCTGCGCAAATCAGACAGAGCCACATCCCGACTGAAAGCAAGAAGAAAATAAACAAGATGTACAATCAAACGTATCTCTGAGAAGACCTGAATGTGATTAGGCTGTAAAATAACAAACGGCTCTTAATGAAAAAGAATTATAAGGATAACCTGCAAATGCACTTTAAGTTTTTTAAGGAGGCGAATGCAAATGAAATCAACCTACAAGTGTAGGTATCTTTGACTTACAACACTTCGGTTAGTGTCATGCCCCTGTTGGAGTCTGATTCTGAGGGGGAGATTGAGCAGCTGACAGGGAGTGGGAGTGTGGCTCTGGTGGATGTGGAGGAAACTGGGCAAGGGCACTCTCCGGCTGGGCATTCAGAGGAAGACCCAGGCCCACCCCCTCTGCATCCTAGGGCATGCAGGGAGGAACAGATAAGGGAGCAACATGGCTTACGGGGGAGAAAAAGGCCCTGATTCCCTTCATTAGCTTCAACTGGGAAAACAGGATATAAAGGGTGTTTCCGCACAGCTCCTTGCTGGAAGCAAAGCGTGCATTATCTTTGTTTGTCAAGTCTTATCTGGGTTCTGGCGTCCTCCCAACTCTGTGTGTTTCGTTATCTTTTGAAGTCTGCAATTCCTTATCCTGCCCTGTCTCGTTAATTGCTGCAGCATGGTTTGTATTGATTTTTATTTATAATTTATACGTACTTTGGGTTCGGACTAAATTTCTTCCATTTAAAAACTGTTCTTGGGAGTTTTTTCTCCAGCCGATCATAACTGGACATTGGGAGCCAAGTTGGAAGTGTTAAAGGGACTTTACCTGTGACTTTGTTGCTTTTGTTCCATGCCCTGGGTCATCACAGTTAGTGACTGTTCAAAAGTTACAATGGCACAGAAAAAAAGTGACTTATGACCATTTTTCACTTATGACCATGGTAGCATCCCCACAGTCACATGATTTACATTTGGATGCTGGACAATTGACTCACATTTATGTTGATTTGCAATGTCCCGAGGTTGCATGATCCCCTTTTGCGACCTTCTGACAAGCAAGGTCAATGGGGAAGCTAGATTCACTTAACGACCAGGTTACTAATTTAACAACTGCAGCGGTTCCCTTAACAGATGTGACACAAAAAATCGTAAAACGGGGCCAAACTCACTTTTAAAAAAATTTCTCACTTAAATTTTGGGCTTATTTGCGGGTCGTAAATTGAAGTCTATTTTGTTTTTATTTGGGTTTTGGTTTGCTATTTCTTATTATTTGACCTTTTGATATTTGCTATTATTTGACCTTTCGGTAAAGGTTATTCAACAGAAATGAATGTTATAGCAAAGAAAAAGTATATTTAATTATTCATGTATTAACTGCAGCTAGAATTGTAATCGCTCAGAATTGGAAAAACGAAAAAAATTCCAGCAGAGGGAAAAAGTGATTGAGAAAACATTAGAATGTTCAGAGATGAATAGATTACGCTGGCAATCAAAGAAAAAGAAGACACAATGTTATATGGTATGGGATCTATTTTATCAATGGTTTGGAAAATAAAACAAGTTAAAATTGAGTAGATGAACGTAAAGAGAAACAAGTTAAGTTTGTTATAACGATAATAGATGTAAGAGATAATGGCTTATAAAGAAAAAGTGATTATTGTCGTATTGGTAAGAAAAGGTTTAATTATAATTGTTAGCACAAGGTATATGTACCCAGTCGACACACTGTTTAAATGAAAGATGGATTTATTGTCAATATACAATAAATATATATGTATGTATGTGTGTAGATAGATAGATAGATAGATAGATAGATAGATAGATAGA